AGGGAGATGTTGTCAAAAGGAGTGGTGAGAGTGTCAAGAAGTCAAGGTATCTGGGGGTTGAAAGAGAGGTGTCAACAGGGAAGGAAGAGGTTGTCAAAAGGGTGCGAGGGTGTATTAAAAGGGGGAGGGAGGTGCTGTCAAAAGGGTGCGAGGGTGTATTAAAAGGGGTAGGGAGGTGCTGTCAAACAATAAAGGTGTCAACGGGGAAGAAGGGTGTCAAAGGGGTAGATAGGTGAAATCAAGCAGTAAAGGGTGTCCAAAGGGTGGCAAAGGGGTTCGAGGGTGTGTCAAAGGGGAAGGAAGGGGTAAATGGGTGAAGTCAAGCAGTCAAATGGGTGTGTCAAGAACTGTCCTCTTTTACCCCCAAGCTGCTACTGTATGTCATGTTATAGATCTGGTAAACCCGACTTTATTTATTTATTTTTTAAAGGAAAGTGAAAATTAAAATAGAATCAGATCTTTAAGGCGTTTAAGTTATGGTATGTAGCCAGGTGTGAATAATTTTGGCTCTGTTTTTTAATAATTATTTAGGGTAAAGTTTATATATACCAGTTTTAACTTTTAATGCTATGTTTTGTTGTTACTAAGGCTAAAATTAAACCTGTTTTATGTGTAGAAATGTAACCAGGTTTAATTGTTTTATTTTTTTATTATTTTTTTATTTATTTTTTTCACTTATTTTACCTGTTCTTAGTACTTGATGCTTGGCTGCGTTGCTAGATGTCTCTGATTTTACTTGATTTTGACGATTATTTCATTTTAAAGTTGTTGTTGTTTATTAATTTTATGTACTGTTTGTCTGTATGACTGTAATGGGCTAAATTTATTCCGCGTTACAACTATTTGACTCGGAATTGTCTATTTTTTTTTATTAACATGATATATAATGCCCAATTTGTACCGTCTTGTGAGTGTAAATTGGCAATAACTTCCGTATTTCTACCCTGAATTGGTTTATATAGTTACTATTTATATATTATAGAGGTAGGGTCTTCCTATTTTCACCCTTAAGTTTATCTATATTAGCAAGGCTTCCTATTTACACCCTGAAATTTATTATCCCTATTGACTAGACTCCCTATTTTCACTCTTAAATAGACCTGTATATAGTACTGTCCTTATCTACCCAGGGCTATACCTATTTCTACCCTCATATAGGTCCATGTATTTATTTATACCCTTATACCTGACCCGGGTCTCCCTATTTCCACCTGGATATAATAGGTAGACCGTATAGTATAGTGCCATTTATTTTATATAGGTGATGGGGGGTCTTTCTACCTGGTGATCAAAATTTTCATACGTGCGGTTTAGTTTTTTTTTGGGTGGGTTTATGTGTGTGCATTGTTGGGTTTAGGTTTATGTATGTCTGTCTGTCTCTCTCTCTCTCTCTCTCTCTCTCTGTTTATTCATTTGCGTATCTCTCTTTCTTTCTCTCACCATCTACCAAAGAGGAGGAAATTAAAGTGAGGGGAAATAACAGAGAGAGAGAGAGAGAGAGAGAGAGAGAGAGAGAGAGAGAGAGAGAGAGAGAGAGAGAGAGAGAGAGAGAGAGAGAAAGAGGAAATATGGAAAACGAAGCTAAAGTGGGGAAGACGGAAGAGGAAGGGGAGGGTGAATAATCGGGAAGAGAGAGAAAGTGGATGGAAATGGGAGAGAGACAGAAATGTAAAGAAACAGAGGAAAATAAAAGAAATTGATCGAAGTGAGGAAGAAATAATGATAAAAAAAAGGAGGAAGAGGGATGGAGAGAGAGAGAGAGAGAGAGAGAGAGAGAGAGAGAGAGAGAGAGAGAGAGAGAGAGAGGACAAATGTACACTCATAACCGCAACATTCACGCTGACAGGAGCCGTACAGGTGAGGTCGGTAAGGTTCCTCGACCCTGTGTAAATTTGGGGGATTTTGGCCCAAGCTGACAGGTGTGGGATAGCACCTTCTTGCTCCTGGCCATTGAGAACCAGCGGATTAGGACCAGTTCTCCAGAGGTCCAAGTACTGATATGTGTGTGTGTGTGTGTGTGTGTGTGTGTGTGTGTGTGTGTGTGTGTCGTTGGAAGTGTTTGGTATGTGTGTTAATGTTCATTTTTTCCTCTGGGAACTGAATACACACACACACACACACACACACACACACACACACACACACACTCACTCACTCACTCACTCACGCGCACACTCAACCCCCCCCTCTCCCCCCCAAAAAAAAATAATAATAAATAATAATAATACTAAAAATAATAATAAAAAAATATATTTTTTTTTAAACACCCAAACTCACCTAACTCTCCACTATGTCCAATCAAAAAAATAATAATATACACCATTCCTCTAATATATATATACAACACCCATTTCCTATACCATCTCTTAACAAAACACTATAACAGTTACATATATGATGTTTTTTTTTGGGGGTGTGGTATATAATCTGGGTGTTTGTTTTCCCTGGTGAGTGGAAGGGAGGAAAAAAACACGAGGGAAAATTGTGTTTGTTGGGTTGAATGGTAAATGGAAGGTCATATTTAATGATGTTTTGGCTTCCAGCACTGTTGTGTGGCGGTGGTGGTGCTGGTGGTTGTTGGACACTGGTGAGAGAGAGAGAGAGAGAGAGAGAGATGGGGGAGGGAGGGGGGGATTTAAAGAGAGGAGTGAAATTGATAGAGATAGAGAGAGGAAGGAGAAGGGAAATAAACACAGTGGTGAAAAAGAGAGAGATTAAGAAAAAGAGATAGAGGGAGAGAGAGAGAGAGATAAAACTGATTGAAAGAGGGAGGAAGAGAAGACGTGAGGAAGGGAAACAAATTCATTTAGTGAGAGAGAGAGAGAGAGAGAGAGAGAGAGAGGGAGAGAGAGAGAGAGAGAGAGAGAGAGTCTATTGATAAAACTTTCGTGATTATATGATAAAATTGTAAAAACACTATCCTCCCTATTCCCCCCTACCCTTCCCTCCCTCTCCCCCCTCCCTTTCCACTCTCTGCCCTTGACATTCACTCTTTATAAATTTCCTCCCATTACCTCTCTCTCTCTCTCTCTCTCTCCTCCCTCCTTCCTCTCATTTACCTCTCTTGCCGCCTCCCTCTCACTTCTTCCACTTTCCTCCTTTCTCTCCTCACCTCTCTGCCCTCCCTCCCTCCGTCTCCCTTCACCTCGCCCTTCCACTCCCCCTGTCCTCACCCCTTCCACTCCTCCTTCCTCACCCTTTCACCCTCTCCTCCTCCTCGCCTCTCACCCTCCTCGCATCTCCTCCTCTCCCTCCTCGCCTCTCACCCCTCTCCTCGCATCTCTCCTCTCCCTCTCCTCTCCCTCTCCTCGCCTCTCTCTCCCTCTCCTCTCCTCTCCCCCTCTCCTCTCCCCTCTCCTCGCCTCTCTCCTCGCCCCTCTCCCCTCCAATCAACACATTGTTTAAAATCGCGACTCGGTAAAAGTGTACAGTCAGGCCTCTAAGTTTTTTTTAAAGAGTCGCCGAGTTCACTAAATTTGCGGAGAAGCCCCCGTACCTGTATATAACTTGTGTTAGACGCCCACTAGCTCCGCCCGCCTGCCCAGCTCCACTTCTCTCTCTCTCTCTCTCTCTCTTTGACGTCAGCACCCGAAATCCAAGATGGCTGTCACTACCGTCTACAGCACTTCAAAACAAACAGAGGGTCACTCCTGTAGATTCGGGCCACCCCTTCCAGCTTATTTCACCTGAAGATTAACCACCCTCATGTTACCTGGTGGGGGTAGGTTAGGTTTTAGGGCGTGTTAGTTTAAGTTGGTTTTGTTTTTGGGTGATTAGGTTAGCGTTAGGTGGTTAGGTTACTGTTAGTTATTGTTAGGTTAAGTTGGGTTAATGTACTACTACTATTACTAAAACTACTACTACTACTACTACGTGACCTCCAGCCTCCCCCAAATAGCACACATTCGCCGCCATTTTATTGCCTTAAAATTAAATATCCTAACCACTACTACCACCACCACTACCACCACCACTACTACCACCACCACTACCACTACTACCACCACCACCACTACTACCACCACCACCACTACTACTACTACTACTACTACTACTACTACTACTACTACTACTACTACTACTACTACTACTACCACTACTACCACCACCACTACTACCACTACCACCACCACCACCACTACTACTACTACCACCACCACTACTACTACCACACTACTGATTATCCACTGTAACTCACCCCCACTACCAAAAAAAAAAACTAAAATAAAAAAAAAATCCCATAAATAAGTTACGAAATATTCAACCAGCACTTGAAATCTGATCACGGCTGCAGCGGGACTCCAAATCTGTGACTGTATCTTTCTGTATTCATTCCGCTGGGCTTTAAAATCTGTTGCTGCTGCTTTCACAGTGTCCAAAAATCTGTCAGTCTTGTTTTTTTGTTTGTGTGTGTGTGTGTGTGTGTGTGTGTGTGTGTTTTCTTGTATTTTTTTTCCCAGTGACTCAACCAGCGAGGATTTTACGCCTGATGTGTTTTGTATTTTTGTTGATGTTATGTTGTAAGGATATACTTGTGTGTGAGAGAGAGAGAGAGAGAGAGAGAGAGAGAGAGAGAGAGAGAGAGAGAGAGCCGCAATATAATATGAATTAATAACCTAAAAAATAATATCATCTAGTTTTTATATTTTTTTATTTTATTTATTTATGTTTTGTGTTGCGTTAGTTTTTTTTTTTTTTATTTATGTTTTGTGTTGCGTCTCACTTATTTTTATTTGATCTTTTACTCGAATATTTCTTCTTTTTTTCTTATTTCTATTTACTTATTTGTTGTTGTTGTTTTATTATTATTTACATGTTCAGTAAGTCAGTTGGGATTTACATTGTATAGATTCTGTGACGTTTAATATTCGCTAACCGGGACAGTCAAACAGTAAGCCGGATATTTTACTATTTTAGCCGGATATGAAGCCAGGTAAGAGGAAATACAACGTCTTTAACCGGATCTCCTCAACTGCATACTTACCTAACCTAACCGCACATTACATGTTTTGGTACTGAGGGCTGGTTGGCGGTACTGAGGGCTGGTTGGCGGTACTGAGGGCTGGTTGGCGGTACTGAGGGCTGCTGGTTGGTACTGGAGGGCTGGTTGGCGGTACTGAGGGCTGGTTGGCGGTACTGGAGGGCTGGTTGGCGGTACTGAGGCTGTTGGCGGTACTGAGGGCTGGTTGGTTGTACTGGAGGGCTGGTTGGCGGTACTGGAGGGCTGGTTTGTGGTACTGGGGGGTTGCTTCAGGTACTGGAGGGTTGCTGGCGGTACTGAGGCTGGTTGGCGGTACTGAGGGCTGGTTGGCGGTACTGAGGGCTGGTTGGTGGTACTGGAGGGCTGGTTGGCGGTACTGAGGGCTGGTTGGCGGTACTGGAGGGCTGGTTGGCGGTACTGGAGGGCTGGTTGGCGGTACTGGAGGGCTGGTTGGCGGTACTGAGGGCTGGTTTGTGGTACTGGGGGCTGGTTTGTGGTACTGAGGGCTGGTTGGCGGTACTGGAGGGCTGGTTGGTGGTACTGAGGGCTGGTTGGCGGTACTGAGGGCTGGTTGGCGGTACTGGAGGGCTGGTTGGCGGTACTGAGGGCTGCTGGTTGTACTGGAGGGCTGGTTGGCGGTACTGAGGGCTGGTTTGTGGTACTGGGGCTGGCTTGTGGTACTGAGGGCTGGTTGGCGGTACTGAGGCTGGTTGGCGGGGTACTGAGGGCTGGTTGGCGGTAATGAGGGCTGGCTGGTGGTACTGAGGGCTGGTTGGTGGTACTGAGGGCTGGTTGGTGGTACTGGGGGCTGGTTGGTGGTACTGTGGGCTGGTTGGTGGTACTGGGGGCTGGTTGGTGCGTGAAGTTCAGAATCAGGTAATCTCTGACGCTACGCTCCACTGACTTTGTGTCCACCTTACTCAACACCTTGGCTTGTGTGTGTATGTATGTATGTATGTATGTATGTATGTATGTATGTATGTATGTATGTATGTATGTACACGAGTCATAAATTGAATAAAATCCCGAGTGAACTCAACACAAGAAAACGTGAGTCAGGAACACATTGACTCACAAGAAGAAATAAGTACGTTCAGGTAAAGTGACTCACAAAAATGCTGACTCAGGTAACGAAGGAATCAGATAACGTGACTCAGGCCAAAAAATTACTGACTCAAATAGCACAGCGAGTCAGGTAGGTGCATGAGGAGGGGGGGGGGGGAGGCCAAGATCGTTCCAAGACAAGCTGGATTTAAGGGAGGCGTCCGGGTGGTTCCTTAATGATGTTACCTGTCCTGCCACTCCCCCTCTACCAGCCAGGTGAGTAGGGGATGGATGGATGGGAAAGGGAGGAGAGGATAGGTGATGGTTAGGTGGTTGGTTTTGGTTAGGGTAATATGGTTTGGTTGGTGTGTTGGTTAGGGATGGTTGATTGGTGGGTTAGGGATAGTTGGTTAGTTAGATAAGGGTGGTTGGTTGGTTAAGGGTGATTAGTAGGGAGGAGGGAAGAGGAGGGCAGTAGGTAATGGGGGCAAAGAATAGGGCAAGGTGGTGAGGACAAGACAGGTGGGGGGGGGGATAAGGTATTGAGGGCAAGGGGTACGTAGGGAAAGGAAGAGTAAGACGTAATGAGGGCATGGGGGCAGGCAGGGCAAGAATGAGGAGGGGAAGATGGTCAAGGAGTATGGTAGGGCAGTGGGTAGAGGGGGCAGGCAAGCAGGGCAAGGAAGAGGAAGGGCAGGAGGTAGTAAGGGGACAGGCAGGGTAAGTATGATAAGAGTAAGAAGATCAAGGAGTAGGACGGGGCAGTAGGAAGTGAGGGCAAGGGGGCAGGCACGTAGGACAAGGAAGAGGAAGAGTAGGTAGTGAGGGCAAGGGGCAGTTAGGTATGGCAAGAATGAAAAGGGTAAGATGATCAAAGAGTAGGACGGGGCAGTGGGTAGTGAGGGCATAGGGTACGTAGGACAAGGAAGAGGAAGGGCAGGAGGTAGCGAGGGCAAGGGGCCAGGTAGGTAGGGCAAGGGAGAGGAGGGCAGGCGTGGCAGGCAGGTCAAATATGTGGGTCGACACACCACCAGCGGCAGCCCCAGCAACACCCCCCCCCTCTCCCCCTGCCCCCTTCCCCCTCCTCCCCTCCTCCTCCCTCTCCAACCTGTCTGTATTATGGTGGTGGTGGTTGTAGTATAGTGGTTGTGATGGCGGTTGTAATAGTGGTAATGGTAGAGATGGTTGCAGCAGTGGTGATGGGGGGGGGGGGGATGATTGTTGTAATGGTGGTGGTGGTGGTTGCGGGTTATAGTAGTGGTGATGATTTTGATTGTGGTAGTTGTGATTGTAGTTTAACCGGCTACAACCTTGGAAGTCATTTAGATATTATGCACTATATGGTAAACAGCGTAGGTCCCCAAACCACAAGGCCTGTGGTACCTCCTCGTGTTAAAGAGATGGCATATTAACACATCTATCTATCTATTCATCTATCTATCTATCTATCTATCTATCTATCTATCTATCTATCTATCTATCTATCTATCTATCTATCTATCTATCTATCTATCTATCTATCTAAACTCCATCTATCTATCAGGGAGTTGGAATGAATGAATAGGATAAATAGATAGTATCGTCAGGTATTGGCCAAGAGGTGAACCTGACTAATATGTGTGATATAATTTATGTTACCTGCGTCCCGTTATGTTTATCTTGGGTGAAGGTGTTCTCCTGTATGTTCGGAGTCTTTGTTTGTGTAATATTATTTTGTGGGGAGCACCTGAAGAGTTTAATGTCCGTCCAGCGAATGAATTTCACCTGATAATTAATTCATTTCAAATTCAATTCGAGTGAGGTACAGTGTAAGGTTAGGGTTAGTGTGAGGTTAGGTTAGATTAGATTATTAGGGTGTTTAATCATATATATATATATATATATATATATATATATATATATATATATATATAGAAGAGTATATATATATATATATATATATATATATATGTGTGTGTGTGTGTGTGTGTGTGTGTGTGTGTGTGTGTGTCTTGGTGGTCGTGTGTGTAAGCAGTGATCGTGTGTGTGCGTGTGTGTTGGTGATCGTGTGTGTGTGTTGGTGATCGTGTGTGTGCACCACTACAGCTGTTACACCGGGTTTGTGCCTCAACACAGGCGTGCACTCTCGCTCCCTGGTGTGTTTACTGTTACCGCCACGTAGTGTTGTAAACATGTGGGAGCAGGAAGTGGTTCTTTATTGGTGTGTGTGTGTGTTTGTTGGAATGTGTTTGTGTATGTTTGTATGCGTTGTTTGTGCTTGTAGGGAAAGGTGTGTGTTTGTGTATGTTGTATGCGTTGTTTGTGCTTGTAAGGTTGTATGTGTGTGTGTTAGTCGATGTTAGTTGAGTAGTATAAGGTATGAGTTAAGTAAAGTGACTCAGTGTGAAGTATAAGTCAAGATCAAGTTGGTTATAAAAGACACACTTATACTCTGAGGCCCGGACAGTTCCCACGGGCCAGGGAAACGAAAAGAAGAAACAGAAAAAACTCGGGGGGAAAAAAACGCATAATTTTTCTTGTCTTTTGGGGTTCTGGGAAAGGTCTTTTTTTTTTTTTTTTAATAGGAATTTTGTGTAAGTCAGGGAAAAGTTAGAGTCTCTTAATGTTTTTGTTTTTTGTTTGTTTTTGCTTTTTTGTCACGGGTCTGGCAAGGTTTTTTTTCTCCCTTACAGATAAACAAAATAATGTTAACTAAATTATATATAGACACACGGTTCTATATAGTTTTACTTAAGTTATTAAACACACAGAAAAATATATGTATAGGATCACATGAAGATTAGACCCCCCAGCACCTTAAGTTTATTTCACTTGATTAAAATACCGTTAACCTATATAGAGAGGTTAGGTTAGGTTAGCGATAGGGTGGTTAATCTTAAGGTTAATTAAGCTGGGGATGTCTACTCTTCAGGTGAATCTAAAATAAGTTTGGGGCGTCTAATCTTCAGGTGAACCCAAACTACATAAGCTTGGGACGTCTAATCTTCAGGTGTACCCAAACTACATAAGCTGGGATGTCTACTCTTCAGGTGAATCTAAAATAAGCTTGGGGCGTCTAATCTTCAGGTGAACCCAAACTACATAAGCTTGGGGGTGTCAAATCTTCAGGTGAACCCAAACTACATAGCTGGGGGGTGTCTAATCTTCAGGTGAACCCGTAAATAAATAAGCTGGTATTGTACTTGAGGCGGTTGGTGGAGAGGGTCAGCCGGCCGTAGGGGAGGAAGCAGGACGGAAAGTTACTTCTGGTTTTGTTGGTCTGGAAAAAAAAATAAATTACTCACGGTCTGGAAAAAGTCGAGATTGTTTGACTTGTTGTTTTTGTTGGTTGTATTAGTGTCGGAACAACAGCAACTACTACTACTACTACTACTACTACTACTACTACTTTTTTTTTTTTTTTTTTTTTTTTTTTTAAATGGCCTCCAGCCTCCCCCAATAGCCACACCTTCGCCACCATTTATTTACCTTAATATTAAATATCCTAATACATAAGCAACTATCCTATCTGTGTTAAATTAGTTGAGCCGCAGATCGATGCGGCATTCGGTGACTGTAGCCTCATAGTCGATATCTGCAGCAGTTGACGGAGTAGGGGCAGAAGCTCTCGTTCCCCTGAGGCAGAGCAAAGCCGACCGAAGGAGAGAGAAGGACAGTCGACATCTCATCCAGGCTGTGACATAACTTCTGGGCTGCTGCTTCTGTTCGGAGATCAGCTCCGCGAGTCTGGCGTAGAAACATCTTGCACTTGGGCCCATCCCACCAGAGGTTGTGAACACTAGAGGAGTGAAGCTGCCTTGATCAACATTTTGAATTCTCTCCCCATATGCCCTTATCTTGTCGTTCTCGTTCCTCCTATGTGCAGCATCGAGAGCTAGGTTACGGTGACAAACGGCCATGGGATCAAAAATCCTGATGTCGAAGAAGGCTCGCTGTCCCCGCGTCCAGAATCCTCGAGCACTGACGTCCACACGGGCTTCGTTAGATGTGTTTGAAGTCCTGTGTTGGAGGATCTCGCCATCCAGTGGAAGGAGGGTCGGTTCTACCATGACGTCCCGGCAGGTAGTTGGTTGATTTTATGTTTAGTTCCCTGAGTACGATGACTAAACCCTTGAGTACGATCAATAGATAGATAGATAGATAGAGTTTATACACATGAACGATGGCCAGCAATAAGTGGGGTCATCAGGCCTGTGGGAGCTTCTATCAGGATCAGGAGAAATCATTCTTTGGGATGTGGCCAAAATCGCACCAAACTTTGCTAGTGGAGGTGGTAGGGGGTGTGGCGGAGGGGGAGGGGTGTGGTGGTGGTAGGGGGTGTGGCGGAGGGGGGGGTGTGGTGGTGGTAGGGGGTGTGGTGGAGGGGAAGGTGTGGTGGTGGTAGGAGGTGTGGTAGTGAGCAAAATAAGAGAGGTGATGGACGGGTTGTGGTGCGGGAGTCAGCTGCTGGTAGCCTGCCTGAACGCTTCTCATTGCTCACTTGTCGCGTCAAGTTGGACTCGTTTTATTTATTTTTTGTTTTGTTTTTTTTACTTTTTTTTTGGTCGGAATACGGAACTGATGTGTTTTTGCATACGCTCACCATCTGGCAACACTCACCTGGAGGCTGCCATCTTTGTCGTGTGGTTGTTTGTGTATAACTCCTCTTGTTGGTGTTATGACAAGATACCTGCCAGTGGTTTAGCAGGAGGTGGGCACTGCCTCAGGTACAGTATCTGAGAGCCGGGAATGGGTTGCCTTTGAGGTGATTTGGCACCCGCTCACCGAGAAGCCGTCCGACTGCCTAACCTACCTTGCAAATACGAACGCCATATTTTTCATCTTGCATTAGATATTTATTATACCTTTGCTTTACCTTAACTGATGGTGTTATTTGTGAGATAAATGTTCCTGTACCGTGTTGACCGCAGGAGGGTGTCTGAGTTAATGAAGGGTGGTGAAGATAGTGACTTATTCTCCATGATAAATATAATAACTCACCCAGTTGGCACCAGTCACCACCTCTTGCGGGTCACCAACACAAGTTTTCATTACATTTTTTGTATTATATCTTACACATGTATTTTTTTCCTTATACATCTTATAATAACCATCAAATATACTTACTAGTGACTCATCTTGGGTATAAGTTATGGTGAGTATTAGGATGGTGTTAGTATGGGGGTAAGTGGTGATGGTGTGTGGTGGTGGCTGTGGTGAGCATCTCCCTGGAATGTGTTGGTCTGGAGGCTGAGTTGAGGTATCTTATAAATGCATTAACCTTGCTTACTACCTTCTCCTCCTCCTCCTCTCCCCCTGGCCCTCCTCTTCCCTTCCTTCCCCTCCCCTCCCCTCCCTTCCCCTGGCTCTCCCCTCCTCCCCCCTGGCTCTCCCCTCCTCCCCCCTGGTCCTCCCTCCCTGCACGCTCTCACGGCCACCGGCACCACCCACCTGTTGCCCCACCCTACCTTACTTGTTGCCCCCACCTTACTTACTTGTTGCCCCACCTCACCTACTTGTTGCCCCACCCCACCCTAAACTTACCCACCTGTTGCCCCACCCCACCTTACTCTACCCACCTGTTGCCCCACCCCACCCTACCTTAGCCACCTGTTGCCCCATCCCACCTGTTGTCCCACCATCACCACCCACCTATTAACCCACCACCACCCACCCATCAACCCATCACCACCGTCACCCACCCATTAGCCCACCACCACACCACTTATTGGCCTCTTCGCCCACCACTGCCCACCTGTTAACCAGTCATCGTACTCAAGGTGTTGGGTTATCGTAATGGGTAGAGTAATTCGATGTACTCGGGGATGTCATTGTACTCAAGGAGGGTTTGGGGTCATACTGAAGAGGTTGGGATCGTACTCAAGGGATTAGGATCGTACTCAAGGGATTAGGATCGTACTCAAGGACTTAGGATCGTACTCAAGGGATTTATAATCAATGGAAAAAGAAGTGTTTACAAAGATTTATTTAACCTAATCTATTTTATATAAATCCTCGGAGGTGCAGGTGTGTGTGTGTGTGTGTGTGTGTGTGTGTGTGTGTGTGTGTGTGTGTGTGTGTGTGTGTGTGTGTGTGTGTGTGTGTGTGTACAAATATAAGGGTTTTTTTGTGAGTGCTTATATTTTTGTGCCGAATTTATCACTGTGTGCGCGCGCGTTTGTTTGTGTACCTGCCGCCTCTGTTACCATACACACATACTTCACCCACCTACTACACCCCGTCTAAATAAACAGGCAACTAATTTACTGTCAGAATTCAACGTTACATGAAAAGTCATTATATATAACTGCAATTTAATTCGTTTTAAATAATCTTTTAGTCGAGGATAATCCCGATTTTTGTTTGGGGGAGAGGGGTTAATTTTGATTAATTAGGGGGTGGGATGTTACGAGATTAATCCGGGGGGTGCCAACAGGGGAGGGGGTGATGCAGCGTTCTTAAGTCACTTGGATTCACAAAGGATTTTTACGATGATTTTTTTTTTACTTTAAACGAAATCTTAAGAGAATGTTCCTACCTGGTTGTCTTAGGTTAGGTTAAGTTGGGTTAGGTTAGGTTAGGTAGGGTTAGGTTAGGTAGGGTTGGGTTGGGTTGGGTTGTCTTAAGTCCCACAACACAGAGAAGTTATAACAACGGTGTGAGAAATTGAGAATGACCCCTAGAGTTGTGAGACTGTAATTAGCTGGTTCTCTTGAGTTAATGACCGGAATAATGAACAGAATGAGTTAGAGCATTGTGGTGGATGTGTAAAAATTCTCCTAATTGGGCTACTTTAGGTTAGGTTAGGTTAGGTAAAAAATAAATTACTTATATGAAGGTTATTAAGATTGCATGGAGACTCTGCCTTAACTAGATACGTTCACTTAACACCAATTAGGAGACAAAATTAACACTGAGACTCTACCTTAACTAGATACGTTCACTTAACACCAATTAGGAGACAAAATTAACACTGAGACTCTACCTTAACTAGATACTTCACTTAACACCAGTTAGGAGACAAAATTAACACTGAGACTCTACCTTAACTAGAACATTCACTTAACACATTAGGAGAAAAAATTAACAGAGACTCTACCTTTAACTAGATACGTTCACTTAACACCAATTAGGAGACAAAATTAACACTGAGACTCTACCTTAACTAGATACGTTCACTTAACACCAATTAGGAGACAAAATTAACACTGAGACTCTACCTTAACTAGATACTTTCACTTAACACCAATTAGGAGACAAAATTAACACTGAGACTCTACCTTAACTAGACACATTCACTTAACACCAGTTAGGAGACAAATTAACACTGAGACTCTACCTTTAACTAGATACTTTCACTTAACACCAGTTAGGAGTGTCTGTAATAGTTGTGTTAATATTGTAGGTTAATATTTTGTTGTCATTAACCTTTTAGCTCCAGTAGGGTAATGTTGATATAATTTAACTATGTATTTAACTTAATTCAATCTGATTATTACATTCTCAAATATTTAGGTTAGGTTAGGTTAGGTAGGATTTGGTTTGGTTAAGTAAGGTAAGGTTGGTAGGTTAGGTTAGGGAAGGTTACGCCAGGTTTGGTTAGGTTAGGTAAAGTAAGATTAGGTTAGGTTAGATTAGGTCAGGTCAGGTTAGGTCAGGTCAGGTTAGATTAGATCAGGTCAGGTTAGGTTAGGTTAGGTTAGATTAGGTCAGGTCAGGTTAGGTTAGGTCAGGTTATGTTAGGTTAGATTAGATTAGGTCAGGTTAGGTCAGGTCAGGTCAGGTTAGGTTATATTAGGTCAGGTCATCAGTAGTTGACAGTAAACTTAATGGTAGTGGACAAAATGGACATAAAACCAACCCATGATCTTGCCTTACGAGGGAATATTTCATCGTACGGGTGTGTGAGGTTTGCGGGGCCCTGAGGCTTGGGACTCTGGTTTTCAATTTGGATGTGCAAATTCCCTAAATGCATAACAGTGAACTAATTATAGGAACCCAGGCGTGGCTCGCTGGTTGTTGGGTGGGGTGGGTGGGGGAGGGGGGGGGGACAGGGTGTGGTGTGGGGGAGAGGGTGTGGGTGTGGGGGAGAGGGTGGTGTGGGGGAGAGAAGGTGTGGTTGGTGTGGTGGGGAGAGAGGGTGTGGTGTGGGGGAGAGGCGTGGTGGAGAGAGAGGGTGTGGTGTGGGGGAGAGAAGGTGTGTGGTGTGGGGGAGAGGGCGTGGTGTGGGGAGAGGGTGGTGTGGGGAGAGAGAAGGTGTGGCTGGCGTGGTGTGGGGGAGAGAGGGTGTGGCTGGCGTGGTGTGGGGGAGAGAGGGTGTGGTTTGGATTTTTCAGTGAATTTGCCTGTGACAGTTTTTGTGCGTGTTTTTGTGGCCTGTGATTGTGTGTGTGGGTGGTGTTTTTGTTTGTATTTTTGTGGTGTATGTCTGGTAGGTATTTTGTAGTGTGTGTGTGTGTGTGTGTGTGTGTGTGTGTGGATTTTTGGTGGTGTATAGCTATGTTTGTTTCTTCGCTGTGTATCTGTAGAGAGTGTGTGTG